AAAGCAACCCTGAGCACAAAGAGCAACACTGGGGGGATTACTATACCAGATCTCAAAGTATACTACAGAGCTATAGTCATAAGAACAGCATGGTACTGGCACAAAAATAGAAACATAGATCAATGGAACATCATTGAAGACCCAAACCCAAGTACACGAAATTTCAGCCACCTCATATTTGACAAAGGTGCAAAGAGCACACAATGGAGGAAAGACAGCATGTTCAGCAAATGGTGCTGGCAAAACTGGATCTCCACCTATAGAAGAATGAAACGAGATCCTTATCTTTCACTTTGCACAAAACTCCAAATGGATCAAAGACCTCAATGTGAAACTGGAAACCCTGAAACTATTAGAAGAAAATATTGGCAGTAACTTAAAAGATATAGGTGTAGGAAAGGATTTTCTAAATCGGACAGAAGTTGCTCAGGAATTGAGGTCAGCAATCAACAAGCAGGACCTCATTAAACTAAAAAGCTTCTGTACAGGGCCTGGAGAGATGGCTCAGCAGTTAAGAATACTGATTTTTCTTGCAGAAGACCCGTGTTCGAATACCAGCACCCACATGGCAGCTAACAGCTGTCCGTAACTCCAGTCCCAGGGGATCTGACAGCCTCTTCTGATCTCCGTGGGCATTGCAGGACTCAGTGCACTTACTTACATGCATGCGTACATGCATACAAATAAATAAATAAATAAATAAATAAATAAATAAATAAATAAACCAGTCATTCTTGAGCTGGGTGTGGTGGCTCATGCCTTTAATCCCAGCAGAGGCAGGCGGATCTCTGTGAGTTCAAGGCCAACGTGGTCTACAAAGCGAGTTCAGGCCAGCTGGAGCTACAGGGAGACCCTGTCTCAAAAAAAAAAAAAAAAAACTAAAAAAAAAAAAAAAAAAGAATCAAGAAACCAAATGACCCAATGAAAAAATGGGCTAAAGATCTAACCAGAGTGTTCTCAAAGGAAGAAATAGAGATGGTAAAGAAACATCTCAAAAAGTGTTCAACATCGTTAGCAATTAGGGAAATGCAAATTAAAACCACCCTAACGTATCACCTTACCCCAATCAGACTGGCTAGGATCAAGGGAACAAATGATACCAACCAAATGCTGGTGAGAATGTGGAGAAAGGGCACTCTCATTCACTGCTGGTGGGATTGCAAACTCGTGTAACCTCTATGGAAAACAGGGTGGAGAACTCTTAAAAAACTAATGGCCGGGCATGGTGGTGCACGCCTTTAATCCCAGCACTTGGGAGGCAGAGGCAGGTGGATCTCTGTGAGTTCAAGGCCAGCCTGGTCTACATAGTGAGTTCCAGGACAGCTGGGGCTGCAGGGAGACCCTGTCTCAAAAAGACAAAAAAAAAAACCTCAAAAACAAACAACTAAGAATGAACCTACCATATGACCCGGTTATACCACTCCTTGGCATATACCCAAAGGTCTTGTCCTACTGTAGAGACACTTGTACAGCCATGCCTGTTCCTGCTCTTTTCACAATAGTTAAGATATGGAAGCAACCTAAGTGCCCCTCAAACTGACGAGTGGTTAACAAAAATGAGGTATATTTACACAATGGAAACAGAAATAGAAATTCAGTAGTAAAGAAAGATGAAATAATGAAATTTGCAGGTAAATGGATGGATCTAGAAACTCTTATACTAAGTGAAATAACACAGACTCAGGAAAACAAACGACGTATGTTCTCCCTCATATGTGGATCCTAGCACCAAATCCTTTTAAATTCCAGGTCCTTTTAAAACGATGATGCTGTACAGCAGTCCCTTTGGCATGAAAGAACTACCATCATCAGTTCAGCTGAGCCTGATCACTAAACTTCTTCACAATTAGGCTTGTTGATGGTTGTGCTCATTCATTAAAGGAGGGCCAAGCAGGGTCATTGGACCCTCACTGGAGGATCCAGCCACTCTTCCCAGCCAACTGTATGTAATTTGACCCTAATCACACATGGCCTCCTGGATTTGGGAAGGGCTAAAATATACAACCTGGGGAAGGCTAGGAAGAGAAGGCATGACCCACGCTGGGTAAAGGCTTTCCTGTGTGCATACCCTCAGGTCACACAAACACCTCAGCAACCCCTCAGTTATCTCAGTAAGCTCAATAAATTTATTGGTTCCCCAGTAAAACTTTAATCAAACATTGGCTTGACACTAGAACCTTAAAAGAGAATAAGCATTGCTTAGCATCCCCAGGATAAGAATTCTCACAACAAATGGAAAATTTATTTGTTAATGCTATTATGTCTCATAATTTTTTTTTTTTGTCTTTTTGAGACAGGGTCTCCCTGTAGCCCCAGCTGTCCTGGAACTCACTATGTAGACCAGACTGGCCTTGAATTCACAGAGATCTGCCTGCCTCTGCCTCCCTAGTGCTGGGATTAAAGGCGTGTGTCACCAAGCCAAAAATATTTTATTTTTGTTTTATGTGTATGAATGTATTGCCTGCATGTATGTGAGTGCACCCGTGTCATGCAATGCCACGGACGTCAGAAGAGGGCTTCTGATTCCCCTGGAACTGGAGTTAAGCTTGGTTCATAGCTTCCATAAGCCTTTGTGAGGGAATTGACATTGATTCTAACCACTCCAACAGCTATCAAAATACCTGAAAGCAAATCTTGAAGCCATCACTCTAGAGTCCAGCCTTGGAAGACAAAAGAAAAATGAGGAGGAACCCAATAGAGGGATGCTTTTAGAAGCCCTTGTCAAGAAATTCCAATGGACTTTCATATGAACATTTGAAAACTGCCCTGTTCTGACTTTTTTCTAGTTCCCTGTCTAGAACTTGTAATGGTAATTACTCTTGCCTTTACTTCTCCTTCACAGCTCCTATTCATGATTCAAAGACTTTCTTTTCCCCTTAGAGATAAGAATTATGCAATTTGGAAATCTTTTAGACAGACCCACTTAAGGGGTACTCCAGTTGCCTCACCCTGTGTCCCTGTTCAGCATGGAAGAAGCCAGAGCAGTCTGGGATTGGCAATTTGGGTAACCTCTTCAGAGGATGGTGTGATAAGAATAGGAGGTAGGAATTGGCTAGGCAGTTAGGGTAAAAAGACCCCCAAAGAAAAGTAGCCACTCTCTTGGCTAAAAGTTAAAATGTCCTTGGGCCTCTTAGCAACATACTCTGTTCCAAAGGCCAAAAATGTTCAAAGTATTTGGGACTTGTATCTAATCTTTAAAAGATTTTAGGGTTACCGCTTCAGAGGGGGGAATGTTAGAGTAGCCAAAAGGCCCATAAAAATAAATAAATAAAAGAAGAAAGAATACATGAAGTTATCAGAAAAAAGTGATGGGGAGATATGGGAGGAGTTGGAGGGGAGGGAGTGGGCATGGATTTGATCAAAACACCTTATATTGTATGAAATTCTCAATAAATTATTTCAAAAAATTTTTGTGAATTATCTAGTACAATAAATTGGGGGGGGGAATAAGGGAAGTTCATGGGACTAGGGGAGAGGATCTAAATACCATCAAATTATATTGTATGAAAATCACAAAATATCAATAAGAAAGAGTTTATAAATAAGGGAACTCTTTCATGCAGGGCAGTGAGCTAATTACATTCTTCTCGCCTGTAAAACTGGGTTAATTGCCATTGTGGTGGGCATTCAATGGAGGGGTTAGGCAGTGCTCAACAGTGGAAGCCGAGTTCTTGATAAAATGAGCTGTTAGACGTGGACGGCACCGATAAGTTGTTTATTGAGTGGATGGTGACCTGCTGGCCTGGAAAGGCCAAGGTTGGGGTTACTTAGAAAGCAGAGGGGTGTCGCCCACCTTTGGAATTCCGGTCTGACCACGCCCCCGTATTCGCTCCGCCCCTCACGCGATCACCCCCGCCCTCGCTCCCCACGGAGCCTCTTGGTACCGTGCTGCGGCTGCGCGTTTCCGTGGTTTCCTGCCCTTGGGGCGCTTACAGGGTGCTGCGCTCTGGGACTTCCCGATCTGCACTATGTGGAGTGGGAGGCAGGCCCGCTTCCGGCCTCTGGCCTGCGGGGTGGAGGAGCTGCGGCGCCGCAGGCGGGAGCGGGAGGCAGGTGCGGCGAGGGTGCAGGGGGTATGAAAGTGTGCAGTGGGGCACCGGACGGGACCGGAGACGCCGGCTGCAGGCCGCTCTGCGTTCTGGTCTCCCCTACTGAGCGGCCCCCTCTCCCCAGCCCTGCGGAAGGCGCGGAGGGAGCAGCATCTGGTCAGCAAGAGGCTGCTGAGAGAAGATGCCGAAGGCCCGTGTGCAGCCGAGCTCCTGCGGGAAGTCGAGGTGAGAGTGCTGGACCGCGTGTGCACTGCAACCTGCCCAAGTCCCTAGTTCTGCCCCAGTCCTCTTTCGAGCCAGTCTACACCCCAGCCATCCGTTGGGTCAAGCCAGAAACAGAGTCAGCTTGTACAGCCCATCCCCACAGCAGTCCGTCAATTATCAAGCCCTCGCCTTTTTGTTCACTTAAAGAGCTCTAGAGTTTTCTCGTGCCTCTCCATCTCCGCTGCCTCCACCGTCTGGATGCTCCAGTAGCCTCTTAAAAGATTCTTCCCTTGCCACCCCAATTCTTTTTTAAAAAACACAGAAACCACCGAGCGTGGTAGCTTACACTTTTAATCCCAGCACTTGGGAGGCAGAGGCAGGCGGATCTCTGAGTTCAAGGCCAGCCCGGTCTACATAGCAAATTCCACTTATTTGCTTATCCTTATATATATAATAGGAATATGTTCATGGAAATAAATGTTCATTTGTAAAGACATCATGTGACATACAAATTCAAACATCATGTAAAATAAATAGAAAATCTTTAATTTTTTATTATTTCTATTTTGTAGGCCAGTGCTACAGGGAGACCCTGCCTCAAAAAGACCAAAAAAAAAAAAAAACCCCACAAAAACCAAAAAAATCCTTCCGGTGTCCTGCTATCCCAGCATGGTCTAACCTCTGACCACCTTATCAGTTTACCACAACCCCTGTAATATTTTCAGTTTGTGGAACAATATACCAGCTTCTTTCCTGTACATCTACATCTAAAGTGGGTCACTTTTAGTATTTGGCTTCAGCTACTAATATTATGTAGTTGGGTTTTTATTATCATTTTCCCAACAAGCTTTTTTCAAAAAATATTTATTTTTATGTGTATGTGTATATTTCCTGCATGTAGGTAAGTGCACCTGTGTTGTGCAATGCCAGCAGAGGACAGAAGAGGCTGTCGGATCCCCTGGAGCTGGAGTTATGGACAGTTGTTAGCTGCCATGTGGGTGCTGGAATTCAAACCCAGGTCTTCTGCAAGAACAGTGTTCTTAACTGCTGAGCCATCTCTCCAGCCCCATTTCTCATCCTTTTTTGAAAAGGAATTTTTATTTATGAGTGTTTGCATTTAAGTACACCTGGGTCGTGAAATGCCTGTGGAGGCCAGGAGAGGACGTTGAATCCCCAGGCACTGGGGTGACAGGCAGTTGTTAGCCACCACAGTGTGGGTTCTGGGACGTGAACTAGGGTCCTCTGCAAGAGCAGCCAGTATTCTTAATCACTGAGCCATTGCTCCAGCCCCTCACCCTTTTTTTCTTAGCTATAGACTCACTTTGTAGACCAAGCTGGCCACAAACTAGCAACCCTCCTGCCTCAGCTTGTCAGGTACTGGAATTATTGGTATGCACCATTGCTTTCAGCCCTTCAAACTAAACTAGACTGCCTTGTCATCCTTGAAAACCCAGGAGCAGGCTGAGGATCTAGCCTTATGGTAGAGTGCTTGCCTAGCATGCTCTAGGCCCTAGATTCAATCCTTAGTTTAGGGGGCAAGAGGAGGTAGCTGCAGTATGTTTCATCTGTAATCCCAGCACTTAGAAGTTTGAGGTAGGAGGATCCTGAGTTTGAGGTCAGACTGGGCTACATAGAAAGACACTGTAAGAAAAGAAAAAGAAAACCAGACACCTGTACAGTATCTGGAACTTAGATGTTCAGTACTTTTGTGTTGTTTTGTTTGAAACAGGGTCTCATATATCCTAATTTGGCCTCAAACTGTGTATGTAGTTGAGGATGACCTTGAACTTGTGATCTTGCCAACATCTCCAGAGTGTTGGGCTTATAGTTGTGGACCACCCCACCTGGTTTATGGGGACTGGGACTCAAGTCCAGGAGTTTGTGCATACTATGCAGGCACTTTACCAACTGAGTTATATCCCCAGCCCAGATTCAGTACTTATTGACTGAGTATATGAAAATGCTTTTACATTCAGCAAGCATTGTTTATGCCTTGCTTTAGTTGTGCCTGTGTTTATATATCTGCATTTATTCCGAGGCTATGGTGCTTATTCATTATATGCTTCCTCTATGCCAGACAGTGTGCTGGGCATTGAGGCACACAAATAGTAACAAGTGCTTTTCAAAGACCAGTGAAGGAGACAGATGTCCTACCATTTTTATAATGTAAGGAAAAAGAGAAACTCCTATCTGTCAGAGGAAGCCAGAAAGAGCTAACTTCCCTGAGGCCTTGATGAGCAAAAGTCTGAATGGGGTAGGAGTGTGGAGAGCGTGTCACAGGCAGAGGCAATAGATGTGCAGAACCTCAGTAGCATTAAAACACATACTTGTAGGTGTTGCTGGAGTGTATGTTGCAAGGGGAGAATAGCTGGAGGGGTAGGTTTTGCCAGACTGAGAGGTTTAATGTTATCCTTGAAATACTATAAGAAGGCAGAGTACATATCATTCTTATTTTTTCAGATGAGGAAACAGATTCATATTCTTTGGAAGTAAGTGGTGGGCTGGTTTTAGGACCCAGTTCTGATCCTCTGCCTGTCTCCCCCCTTGAAAATATTGATGCTTACTAGCCATATTAGTATTTTTTTATTTTTGTCTTTTTGAGACAGGGTCTCCCTGTAGCCCTAGCTGGTTTTGAACTCACTATGGCCTTGATCTCAAAGAGATTCACCTGCCTCTGCCTCCCAAGTGCTGGGATCACAGGCGTGTGCCACCGTACCTGGCTGCCATATTAGTATTAATAACAAGTTCTGAGTATGTTGTAATATTGACAATGTCCCTGTTCTGCGCTTCAGGTCCAGCAGTTCCTGCGGCTAGCCCAATCGGGAACAGATGAAAAGGAGAGAGAAAAGGCTCTGGTCAGCCTTCGTCGAGGCTTACAGCACCCTGAAACACAGCAAACCTTCATCAGGTCAGTGTGGGTGGTGTGAGTGGTTGGCTGGGACTCTTGGGGACAGGAGAGAGTGGAGGCAATAGACAGCAGGCTTAGCAGGGTTCCGGTGTCATTCATATAGGCTGGAGGGCAGTGTGCGGACCCTTGTCGGGCTCCTGACCAGCAATCGGGCCCTGTTGCAGCTTGAGGCGGCTCGGTGCCTACATGAGCTCTCACATTCTGAGCAGTCTGCAGTGGCTGAGGCCTGCCTGCCAGCTACTTCCTACCTCCTCACCTACCTCTCTGGTCACAGCTCAGACTTCATAGTAAGCCCTGTCTCTTTGTACCTTGCTCTGGACTTTGACTTTAAATATGTTTTGGGATCCAGCTTGAGCTAGCAGGAAGACAAAAGTAGCAGTGCACATACCCATCATTTCCTGTCTCTTGTGAACTTGAAGGACAGGGATACTCCTTTCCCTGGCCTGGTTTGTAATAAGTCCAGCCCCAGTGCTTTTGTTGCCTGCTCTCAGGAACTGTGTCTCTATACACTGGGGAACCTCATTGTGGAGAGTGAAGCTGTGAGGAAGCAGCTCCTGCCACAGGGCATTGTTCCAGCCTTGGCTGCCTGCATTCAGGTGAGTGCCTCGTTCCTCCCCGCTAGCAAGCTTCCCCTTGCTTCTCTTCACATGCTCCACTGGCTTTGCAAGGTAGCTCCAAACTCTGCCCTGTGTCAAAGGGTTGAAAGTCTCCTGAGACCTTATGGCCCATTTACCAGAATCAGATCCCTATCCTGTTTAATTCCAGTCCCCTTATGTGGCTGTGCTGGAAGCCCTTGGATATGTTTTGTCCCAGCTTCTGCAGGCTAAGGAAGCTCCAGAGAAGATCATTCCGTAAGTAAAACTGTCTTCAGATGTATAGCTATGGTTGACCCTCTTGGTAGTATACGCTCATGGATCCCTGATCAGATCTGATTTCCACATTTTAAAAGATTTTATGTGTACAAGTGTTTTGCCTGCGTGTATGTAAGTGCATCACCTTTGTGCAATGCCCACAGAAGCTAGAAGAGGTTAGATCCTCTGCAACTGGAGTTACAGATGGTTATAAGCCACCATGTGGGTGCTAGGAACCAAACTGTGGTCCTCTAGAAGAGCAGCCAGAGCTCTTTACTACTGAGCCATTTCTCAGGCCTGATTTCTACATTTTAAACTCCTTATGTCTGGTTAGGAAAAATGTGGAGTTTGGACACTTTCCCTCTTGCTGTGTTGTTTGGGAGGGAGCCACTGGTGTCTCCTTGGTTCCTGCTCACAGCCTGCTTCTTCTGGCAGCTCTATTCTGGACTCCACTCTTCCTCAACACATGCTACGACTGATGCAACCTGGCCCAAAGCTGAACCTTGGGGTTGCTGTGGAGTTTGCCTGGTGCCTTCACTATATCACCTGCAGGTTAACAGGCCAATTGGGAAAATGCCAGAGATCCTTCCTGGGGCTCCCTACGTATGATTTAGGTCTTTGGACCAAATTTAGTTTCTATAATTGCGTTAGTGACTTTTCATCCCCCTGTGGTCCTTTCTTTTGCTCAGGAATCCCACAGATCTAGGTTTTTCTGTAGATTAAAGGTAGGATTGACTTAAAAGTGACTGCTTGCTTCCTGTTACTCAGCCAGGTCAACAATGCTGTACTCATTACCCACGGGGCACTGGCTACACTGGTGCTGCTGCTGTTGGACTTGGCTGGGACTGTCCAGAGAGTGGATGATGCTGGACTAGAGCTGGTAGGTGAAAAGGGTAGGTCAGGATTTGGGAGACATTTCTTTGGACTCTGCCTTTCTAGTATCTGCCTGCCCCTTCTCTTCACACATGACCTTCAACTTGTATTTGCAGCTTGCATGCCCTGTGCTTCGGTGTCTAAGCAACCTGTTAGCAGAAGTGCCAGTAGAGTCTGAGGGGGAGGAAATGCAGCTCAGAGATGAGCGTGTCATGGCAGCCTTATTTATTCTTCTCCAGTTCTTCCTTCAGAAGCAGCCCAGCTTACTGCCCGAGGGCCTCTGGCTTCTCAACAACCTCACGGGTATGTATTACAGTATATTCAGGTCTAGCCTTTAATCATCATTAAAACATTTATTAAAACGAAAGTAGACTTGTTAGGAGACAATGTACAGATGGGGAAGGGCAGAGAATAGGGAGGATAGGGTACTTCAAACACTACAGAAGGGGCCCACACCTTTTCCCTCCCTACTAGTGAAGGTCTCCCATCCCATAGCCACCTTCAGGGGGCACCTGGGGACCCTGAAAGGACCCCTTTGTAAAAGAACCACTCAACCTTCCATCTATCCATGGCTGTCAGGCAATCTCTTTCTCTCCCACTTCCCCAATAAATAAGTTGCTTGGGTCTCAGTTCCTTCAGGGTGGGGTGAAAGAAAGCTTGGGAATCCCGGCTCCTTGCTCAAGGGTACATGAGGTGGACTCTCAGCCCCACACTTTTTCTACTCTTTGCTTGCCAGGGTTGCCCAGAGAGGCTCGGCAAATAAAACTACATAAAGGCTTTGATCAGAAAAACTTTCCAGATGGAAGTGTTCCTCTCATGTCCTGTAGACCACCTGGGGAAGGGGACCTAGTCATCTTGGAATTCTGGGCCAGGTGGCCACCCTAGGCCCCCTGGAGCACCTAGATCAAGGAGACTGAATATGCAGTTAGAGCTCCCTCATGTGCAGTTTCATGAACACACCCAGGAACAAGCCAGAGTTCATCTGCAGTACATACACAGATGTGTCCCCCCTTAATTTCCTAGTATATGCACACATGCTCACAGATATTGGGTGCTAGGCACATGTACATTCATGCTATAAACATGAAATCTTGCCTTTTGTGGCCACGTTTAGCCTCTTGGTACTCAGATCTCAGAGCTTGAAGCTATTGGAAACAGGAAGTAGAAGTATAAACTTCTAGTCAGGATGGGAGGAGAGCCAAGGCTCTAAGGGCTGCAGAGACAGGATGGGTATCTTGAGAAATACTGCCCCCATCAAGATCCTTCAGAAATCCAGTAGTGTTGGGTCCCCAAAGTTGTAGTTAAGGTCTCTGATACTCTCCTGGAGGCCAAATTGGTAGTCAAGGGCCTGTTGATGGTGGGGGAGACTCAGGGAGGATGCTAAAGTCCTCTTTACATGCTCCAGGGGCAAGTTGGTAGCCATCAATATGGACAAGAATTCCTTGTCCATGGGACCCCTAGGCCACTCATTTGGACAGCAGTTCTTACTCTAGACTGAGCAGCATCTGGAACTTAAGATACAGAGAATACTTCCTCATGGCCTAGGGTGTAAGCAGATAGGATTGTGAGAGTAGCAGTTCATACCCTAAAGGTACTTCATACTGACATTTTTCCCTTGCAGCAAACAGCCCTACTTTCTGTACCTCCTTGCTCTCTCTGGATCTGCTTGAGCCCCTTTTGCAGCTGTTGCCACTGTCTAATGTGGTATGCATACTGGTATGTATTGGTTTCATGTACATAAGGAGAGTAAATAGGAGAACAGACCCGGGGTCTCTTAAGTACCTTTAACTGAGAGCTGGTGGGTGGTGTGGTTTGTTTTCAGAGCTAGTCCAGTCTAGGTTTAGGTCCTTGAGCTATACTACTTACTTTCCTTGGGCAAATCAACAAACCACCAGAAGCTTCAGTCTCTTCACTTATAAATGGGATAATAATACCTCAGAGGTGGTTGTGCATTATACATGCGTAGTGCAGAACTTGAAAGAATGCTTGGGGACATAGTCAACATTGTCTATACTGTCCTAATCCTTGGTTTTCATTCTTTTGGGGACTGTGTCCTTGTGTCTTCAGGTACTTACAGTTCTGTGCAATGTTGCAGAGAAGGGTCCAGCTTACTGCCAGCGGCTGTGGCCAGGGCCTCTGCTCTCCTGTGTGCTCAACACGTTGACCCTCTCTGACACTGAAGTAGTAGGTCAGAGTTTGGAACTGCTGCAGCTACTATTCCTGTATCAGCCAGAGGTGGGTTTATGGACCTGGTTCTCAGTCCCCAGCTCAGAACCTCTGGTCTCACCATGGCACCCCTCTCTTCTAGTCCTAATTATATTTGTTTCTCTGGGCCAGGCTAACCAATGTGGGATGCAGGTCAGAACCTTCATCTCCTTGGGAATACACTCTATTTTAAGTGTGCTGACTCATCATGCAGCTAAAGGTATCCTGTCATAGGGCCCAAGAAAGAGTCCTTTTCTTCTCTGTCCTCAGGCTATCCAGGACTTCTTGCAGCAGTCAGGGCTGCAGGCCCTAGAACAACATCAGGAGGAGGCCCAGCTTCGGGACAGGATACGTGCTCTCCAGCAGACAGCAATTCATGCATGATCTGGCTTATTAATATCACTCCCCCCCCCCCACTGCCATGGCCTATTTATTCTGGGGTCCTGGATCTCACTCCAACCCCTCTTCCCTATTTTACTTTCAAAGCTGGTGGCTTTTTGTGTGCCTGAGGCTGGTCTTTAATTTGAGATTATTTCATCCACTTCAGCAAGTCAGTTACTGGCATGTGACAACACAGCTGGCAGCTGGTGGGTTTTGATGAGAAATAAAATTTTATTTTCATATTAAACTGGTTTGCCTGGGGTAGTTGTGCAAGAGGGAGAAGGTAATAAGGACAAGAACATTCTGAGGCATCATCATACAGCATCAGCTTTATAAGGAACAGAGGAACATACTTTTCCACACTCTATTCAGTCCAGGTGAGCCCAAGTTCTGGGAGTATTGTTTATAATCCTCAGTGGAGAGACTTCAGGCTTTGCCATTTAGCACATTTTCCAAAGCTCTGGTTACCTGATCAGCACTCAAGTTGTTCAAAGAGACATTTTTCTCTTGGCCAAAGGCTGAGGAGAGATATGACTTAAATGAGAACCCTGCACAGTAGAACTACAGAATTATAAAAGGTCTTTTCTCTTAAAGTCTTGTTAGGATGAGAAGTATAGGTGAAATTTGCTGTGCATAAGATTAATCAGTGAATCTATGTGGGAATCCCAGATCCTACTAGAATTTTGGCTGGGAAGGAAGGTTAAACACCTTCAAGTGAAGCTTTAAGGTCAGTAGGCATTAACTATGGATCAGATGTTACATGGGTCTTGGCCGACTGTCCATTTTATGGTCACCCATAGACCACTTAGCATAAAATGTGGCATTATACACTAACAGTAATGTCTCCCCCTTTGGGCTTTGGGAAGAATCTTTTTTTTTTCTCCTTCAAACAATTTTTAGTGTATAGAAGTCTGCTTAAGATGTGACTCTCCCCAACCCCAGACAATTCTAGGGCAGTATAAATATTGCCTACCTACAATGTGTTAGGTAACATGTTAAAAAAAATTCAGAAGCTGGGCATGGTGGCGCATGCCTTTAATCCCAGCACTCGAGAGACAGAGGCAGGCGGATCTCTATGAGTTCAAGGCCAGCCTGGTCTACATGGTGAGTTCCAGGCCAGCTGGGACTCCAGGGAGACCATGTCTCAAAAAGACCGAAAAAAAAATTCAGACTGGGCTGGAGAGATGGCCCATCGGTTAAGAGCAGTGACTGCTCTTGCAGAGGACCCGGGTTCGATTCCCAGCACCCACATGGTGCTATGAACCATCCTTAACTCCAGTTCCAGGGGAATCTGCCCTCTTCTGACCTCTATGGCATTGCACGACAAGGGTGCACTTACATACATGCAGGTGATACACTCATAAAAAAAATAATAAAAATATTTTAAAAAATTCAGATTGTGATAAGTAGGAATAGAGTAATATAAGGGGCAGTATTACAACTGGTTAGGGAATATCCTTTTGGACATCAAACATGTGAGGCAAGAACTCCATCATTGCCAGCTTTCTTTATACTTTATGGGAGAGGTACAATATAGTAAAGGGGCACAAATGTCTAAGTTCAACCCTGTTGTGTTCCATTTGCTTAGTTTTAGGGTATGTCCCATAAAGTTTAGATTCAGTTTTCTAACATCTATAAAAAGAAAATATATCATCCATTCATACGATTACCGAAGACTAAATGAGATTGAGGAAGGAAATAACAGCACAGGTCCTAGGCACAAAGTCCTCAACATTACTGAAATTCTCAGTCCCTGAACTCGCACTAGCCACACGTAATTTGGAAGATCTACACTGACTGGAATCTTTTTATCCGAAATCCACTATGATCTGTCTCTAGGCCAACAGTCAGGCTCTCTCTACGTTCCCAGAAATGAAAAGCATCATACAATTAAGTAAACATGAATTTCTTCAGCAATAGCAAGGTTAACTAAGTCCGAGTTTAGGTTGCACACCCCTCCCCCGTTTTTCCGTGACCTTGGAAGGCCCTTTTCTCTCTCCGGCTGCGACCCGGTTCCCTGACCTCCAGCAGCCAGTACTTACCGTAGCGGGCCCAGAGCTTGGGGGGCACCTCCGAACATTCGCGTATTAGAATGGGCAGGCCGGGGTGCGCCTTCTTCAGGTCCACGTAGCGTTTCTCGATGAAATCCCTGTGGAGCGGGGGAGACCGCCGCTAGTGCTATGGGTGCTCCCCCCCCCTCCCCAGGAGGTCAAGGTGATAACGCCAGCGTCCGAAGTCCGCCCGCCTCCACACGCCACGCCTCACCTCACACCCTGGCTGCCCGGCGAGCGCTGGCATAAGTGAATGCGAATCTCACGCAGTCCCAGCTTTGCCCCGACCGCCCGGCCTGCAACGGCGGCCGCCATCTTTCCTAGCAAAGAAACACCCAATCCCAGACCTCTTAGGCCCCAGAGTCGGACCAATAGCGGACCCGCTAATCCCCTCCCCGATTGGATGACGGCGGGGGTGGGGTAAATATCTGCCAATGATGTTGTGGTGCAGTAGAGCCGGAGCAGAAGTCGGAAGGTTCCTAACGCAAGGCTCCGTGGGAGATTTTTTGGAGCATTGTGGGAAGAAGCTTGTCGCCGCTGTTTTGTTGTGGAGAGCCGGTTCGGGCTATCGTTGAGAGGTCGTTGCCGAAATGCCGGAGCGAGATAGTAAGGCTCAGGACTTTCTCTCTTTTCTCCCGGGACTAGAGACGCTTGGCCTGCTGTTCTAAATTTAAGCTGGGTGTGGTGTGCGCTTGAACGCTGGGCCACAGGAGAAGACAAGCCGCTCTGCCCCCCCCCCCCCAAGTTTTTTTTTTTTAATGTTAGGCTGCCCCGCCTGCCTCCTCTCACCTTAATCGTGCGTTGTGCCCATTCTTGCCTGGGAGGGAAGGAAAGGGCTTGCTGTTTTCCAGGCAAGCCTCAAACTTTCTATCCCCATGCCTTAACCTCCGGAATAATTGGGTTAGAGGAGTGCAAGGCTCTCTAGTGTAATACTAGAGATGTGATCTTTAGCAAATTCTTTGTTCGTCCTCCACAGTGAGACCGGGTCTCGTGCCTAGGCTGGCTTTGACCTTGCTTTGTCGTCGAATCTGGCCTTGAATTGTTCCTTTCCCCTCCACAAGAGCTGGGATGACAGGCTCAGGCCATCACTAACGGACCCTTTTTTTTTCCTCTCTCTTTTTGTGAAGTTCTGGCTACTCAGAGTACTCTACGCTGGCCTCGAACTCTGCTTCAGCCTCCCTAATGCTGGGATTTCAGGTCACCATCCCCAGCTTCTCATACATAACTCCTTGTCGTTTCCCATGCCAGCACTTATTGCATTGTCACGTCACTGGCCCTCTTGCCTTCTCTGCTGTTCATTACTGTAATCAATAGTTTTTACACATGACCTGATTAATGTCAATTCTTTTATTAGGTGAGCCGTTCTCTAACCCCTTGGCCCCAGATGGCCATGATGTGGATGACCCTCATTCCTTCCACCAGTGAGTATTTTGTCCTACCACCATGGAAATGACCTGAACAGTGCAAAGGAGTAGCTAGTGATGGTGAAAAATTGAGTATCTTGTTGCCAAGAATGGTTAAAAAGTTTACAGAAGGTTGTTCATTTAAACAAAAACACTAATCTATACAACTGTTTGTTTTTTCCTCACAGAAAGCTTTAAGTTCAGTTACTCCACCAAGATAAAGTAATTATGCTTAATTTTGTAAGGTATATAAAATATTTTGGTGTCAGTTTTTCAGTAGACTTGTGATTATAGGGATCCCCCCCTAAAAAAAAGTACCATTGGGCTCTTTATTTCTGTGAATCTTCAGTGACCCAGGTACTCTACATAAGACTATTGGAGGAGAAATTATGGTGGGGAAGGGTGTAGTGTTTTAATGTGTTGCTTTATTACATATATAGTAATTTTTTTCTGGAAAAAAATTAAACACTGGAAATAAAAGTAAAGCTGTCTTTGGTAACTTCCCAATTCCAGTCCCCTTTATTAACTCTGTGTGTGTGTGTGTGTGTGTGTGTGTGTGTGTGTGTGTGTGAGAGAGAGAGAGAGAGAGAGAGAGAGCAAGCGAGCATGTAAGTGGCACATGGTGCACATGAAAGTCAGAGGACAACCTCTAGTTTAGGTCCTTCTACCTTGTTTTGAGACAGGGTTTCTTGTTCATTTCTGGTAACACCTGGCTAGCTGGCTTGTAAGAGTCCAATGGTTGTATATCTGTTTCCCATCTCCTGGTAGGGTATGCTAGGATTGCAAACACTTGGTTACTGTGCCCAGCTTTTATGCAGGTCCTTGCACATGAAAGTCAGAGGACAACCTCTAGTTTAGGTCCTTCTACCTTGTTTTGAGACAGGGTTTCTTGTTCATTTCTGGTAACACCTGGCTAGCTGGCTTGTAAGAGTCCAATGGTTGTATATCTGTTTCCCATCTCCTGGTAGGGTATGCTAGGATTGCAAACACTTGGTTACTGTGCCCAGCTTTTATGCAGGTCCTGGGGGTCTGAAGCCAGGTTGCCAGGCTTGTGTGCTTTACTCACCAAGCTATCTCCCAGCCATTTATTTATTTATTTATTTATTTATTTATTTATTTATTTAGTGGTGTTTTTATTTTTGTTGCTTTTTTTTTTTTTGAGATAGGGCCACCTTTTAACCCTAGCTGACCTGGAACTTGCTACATAGACCAGGCTGTCCTTGTACTCACAGAGATCCTCCTGCCTCTCCCTCCTGAGTGCTAGGATTAAAGGCCTATGCCACCATGCCTGGCTGTTCTTGTTTTTGAGACAGGGTCTCCCTGTAGCCCTAGCTGGTTTGGAACTCACTATGTAGACAAGGCTGACCTCCATCTCACAGAGATGTGCCTGCTTCTGCCTCCCAAGTGCTGAGACTAAAGGTGTATATGACCATACCTGGCTCCTATTTTTGAGACAGGGTCTCCCCTCACAGACTGGCATGGAACTCACGACACTCCTGCCTCGGTGTCCTGAGTGCTGGGATTACAGGCATGAATCACCATGTCCTACTCTTTAAAATTTTGTTGTTTTTGAGACAGTGTCTATGTGGCCCAGGCTGGCCTCAAATGTGATCATCCGCCTACCTCAGCCTCTTGAGTGCTGAGATTATAGGCATGTACTACCACACTTCAATCCAAGAATCCTATTTTGGGGTGGTACTGAGGATTAAGCATGCTAGACAAGTGCTCTACTATTGAGTTAAGCCCTTGCCCTGTAAAGATGTAATCCTGGCCGATTTCAAGTGAGTGATTGTCCTGTCTCCAGCCTTGTCTTTTTATTTTTTCAGCCTTATCCTTTTCAGCTTTTGCTTACTGGTGTGTGCCCCTTTGACTAGCAAATCCTGTTTTGACTAAGCCTTGTTCTTTGTTGCTGTGCTCAACATTCTTTTGGTAAAGAATTAAGCCCCCACCCCATTACTAAACCAAGTTTCTCTTCATTTTCTTTAAATCCCAGCTTGTTTCTATTGTATTGGAGTTAAGAATCTTCTATTGGCAATTATCTTGACTCCTATTACAACATTAAATTTTTTTCTTTATATTTTATGTGCATGAGTGTTTTATCTGCATGTATGTATGTGCACCATGTGCATGCAGTGCTGATGACTGAGTACAGAAGAGGGCCTTGAATCTCCTGGAACTAGAGTTACTGATGGTTGTCTGGCAACTGAACCAGAGTCCTCTGTAAGAACAGTCAGTGCTCTTAACCACTGAGCCATCTCTCTAGCCCCACAATATGCTTAGTAAGATTTTTTAAAAAATTATTTTATGTGTATAGTGTATTGCTGCATATAAGGGCATCTATGTCATGCCGTGCCCTTGGAGGTCAGAGGAGGGCGTCAGATTCCCCTAGAACTGGAGTTATTGATGGTTGTTAGCCACTCTGTTAGTGCTGGGAATCAAACCCAGATCTTTTGCAGGAGCAGCCAGTGCTTTTAACCACTGAGTCATCTCCCCAGCTCTCTAGCCCCACAATATTCTTAATAAATTCTTCCTTGGAGGACTGGAGAGGTGACTCAACAGATAAAAATGCTTACTGCCAAGTCTGATTACCCGAGTTCCATACAGGAGAGAAACTGACCCTTGAAAGTTGTCCTTTGATCTCCACATGCCTGTATGTACCTCTTACCCCATATGTAAATGTTTAAAAAAATTTTCTAGGAGGGAAGAACTTGTTTAGATATTAAGATGATATAAGAGAGTTTGAGTCAATAATGAGTGGAGGAAATTCTTGTTAAATTGGTATTCTTTTTAAGACATGTCAACAAGTCAAAGAAAAGTCCTACTCAGGAAAGGGCAAAAGAATCTGACTCTAGTTTGGAAAAGGAAGGATTCATTTTCAGTGTACTAATTAAAATAATCTCTTAGTACTATCAGGTTTATTTCTTGTACATTTGGGAAATTAAGCACTGTCACAGTTTATAGTTCTTCACTAGTTAATGGACATTTAAGTTGCTTCCAACTTTTTATCATTTTTCAGACGATAGCTGATCTTCCTTTATAGGCCTTTTTTAATATATATTTATTGTTTTTATTTTATGTGTATGAGTGTATTGCCTGCATGTAGGTAGGTGCACCTGTGTCACGCAATGCCCATGGAGGACAGAAGAGGCTGTCGGATCCCCTGGAACGAGTTACGGACAGTTGTTAGCTGCCATATGGGTGCTGGGATTCGAACCAGGGTTTTCTGCAAGAACAGTCAGTGTTCATAACTGCTGAGCCATATCTCCAGCCCCAGGCCTTCTTACATATATGACAGTGATTGGCCAGTAATTGGAATTGCTGATTCATATGATACATACACTTCAGTTTTAATAAATGCTGCCAAATTGCCTTCACATTGTTATACTGATTTACATTTCCTTCAGCCCTATGAGAGTAAAAATTTTCACTCATTTAATTTAATGAAAATTTTAGTAAACACTAAAATGTTAAAAGTGACATGTCTTTGCTTTCATTTGTGTTTCCCCTGATTCTAGTAAAGTTAACCATGTTTTTCAAATGCTTTTCTATTTCCTCTTGGCTATCAATATTTAAAATCTTTGTCATTTCTTACAGATCAAAACTTACCAATGAAGACTTCAGGAAACTTCTTATGACTCCAAGGGCTGCACCTACTTCTGCACCACCTTCTAAGTCACGTCACCATGAGTAAGTCTTCAGGTGACCCTGTCTGTTTCCCATCTCTCCTTCTGTCCATTTCTGGTTCTGTCTGTCTATTTCTGTGGAACCAGAATCTGTTAGGAGCTAACAAGCCAGTCCTTTTTTAAAGCCTTTGATTACGGTTTTTTTCTCTGTGAAGGTTTGAGCTTTTCTCTGTGAAGACAACTGGGATGCTCTGGGTTCTTATGTTTTCTCAGCGTATATTCCATGGACACTTAGAGTCACTGCTAATACAGATGAATGGAGTTCTGGGTCTGATGGACCCCTATAGTTTCAGATGCTCTGCAACATATATTTTGGATGATATCTAATGTTAATAGTCCCTTAGATGTTCCTGATGATTTTTAAAGTTTGAGAGGTACAAATAATAATATTCTCTGCCTGATTGAAATTGTGGTTTTTTTTTTTCGTTTGTTTGGAGACAGGATCTCCCTGTAACCCCAGCTGGCCTGAAACTCACTGTATAGACAAGACTGGCCTTGATCTCAGAGAGATCCATCTGTCTCTGGCTCCCCCTTCCTCCCCTCAGGTGCTGGGATTGAAGGCACTCATCATCACACTCGGCCTTTTTTAAAAAAAATTAGTTATTTTTATTTTATGTGTGTGTTTTGCCTGCATGTAAGTGCTCTCCTTCATACAATGCCCACAGAAGAAGAAGGGTACTGTGTCTTCTGAAACTTGAGTTATGGACAGTTGTTAGCTACCATGGTGGTGCTGGGAACTGAACCTAGGTCTCCTGAAAGAACAATCAGTGCTGTTAACCATTGAGTCATCTCTCCAGCTGGTTTTCTCCTCTTTTCTCTTTTTTTTTTTTTTTTTCAGACAGGCTCTCACTTTTTAGCCCTACTGGTCTGGAACTTGCTGTGTAGACCAGGCTGACACTGAACTCACAGCTCTGCCTGCCTCTGCTTCCTAAGTGCTGTGTTCAAGGATGTGTACTACCACATCAGCTTTTCTTTTTTTTCTTGAGACATTGTTTTGCTTTGTAGCCCAGGCTTGACTGGAACTCACCATGTAGTCCAGGCTGTCCTCAAACTTGTGATCCTTTTGCCTCAGCCTCCCAAGTGCTGGGATTATGGCATGTGTTATCCTTTTTTCAGTCCTCAAGGCTTCCTGGAGTTTCAGGACTGGGGCAATATGTTTTACTATCAGTGAGTTTCTATGTCTTCTAGGATGCCAAGAGAGTACAATGAGGATGAAGACCCAGCTGCACGAAGGCGGAAAAAGAAAAGGTAAAGGGATGGTGGAGGATTATTGATTTGTAAAGGTGGATACTATTTGAGGGGAAAGGAGTAGATATTAGGATTTTCCCTTGTCTCGGGGTTCTCTGTTTTCTTAATAGAGAAGAGTGGTAACTTAGAGTGGCCTTGTAAGACTTTGGAGTCATCCTGCCTATATATTCATCTTATCCTCACCAGTTTCTAGCTGTGTAAGCTTGGGTATTTTCGTATAACCTCTTTAATCCATAGATAGGATGCAGAAATGGTAATAACTTGAATCAGGCTAATATAATCAACTGTGATAGTGCATGTAAGCATTTATCCCCACTACTTTGGTATATAGCAGACTACCCATTAAATATTGGCTGCCATTATCATTATTTTCTTTTTTAAAAAAAATTTTAATATTTTTTTATTTTTATGTGTATGAGTGTATTGCCTGCATGTATGTGAATGCACCTGTGTTGTGCAATGCAGTGGAGGTCAGAGGAGGGCTTCGGATTCCCCTGAAACTGGAGTTAAGGACAGTTTGTGGCCGCCATGTAGGTGCTGGGAATCAAACCTGGGTCCTCTGTAAGAGCAGTCAGTGCTCTTAACCGCTGAGCCAGCTCTCCAGCCCCCATTATTTTCTTTTTCTTTCTTTTTTTTGTTCTTTTTGAGACAGGGTCTCCCTGTAGCCCCAGCTGTCCTGGAACTCACTATGTAGACCAGGCTGGCCTTGAACTCACAGGGATCCACCTGCCTCTGCCTCCTGAGTGCTGGGATTAAAGGTATGTGCCACCATGCCTGGCTATTTTCTTTTTAAAAAAAAATATTTATATTTTTATTTTGTGTGTATGAGTGTATTGCCTGCGTGTATGTGAGTGCACCATATCATGCAGTGCCATGGAGGTCAGAGAGGGCATTGAATTCCCTGGAACTGGAGTTAAGGACGGTTCATAGCTGCCATGTGGGTGCTGGGAATTGAAATCGGGTCCTCTATGAGAGCAGTCAGTGGTCCCAACTGCTGAGCCCTCTCTCCAGCCCCCATTATCATCATTTTAAACATCATTATTATTTGTATAATACTAAACTTTCTGGACCTGGTGTTTTGCCTTTCCTCTCTTCTGGAGTTGGACCACAATGGACTGAGTTGCTTTTAGTTGAAATGTAAAAGGTAAAACAGGTTCAGGAATTTTTAAAATTACTGAGTGAAGAAGTTCTACCTGTAGGTAATCAGAATTAGGTAGCTTTTCAGTAGCATCGAAAGTACATCTATGAAAGGGCAGTTGGTGGAGGTCGTGGGGGGTGGGGGCTAAGACCCCAGTGGATGAACTTGCACTGAGGGACACGTCTGGGTATACTAACTTGATAGGCCTTAGCATATATGACAGAATGCATGAAATCTGGTGGCGGGGGTGGCTATAAGGGGTGCAGATGGGAGAGGGGGTAAAAGATGATTAAGTTTTGTATGAAATGCACAGAAATTCAATTAAAAATACATTTAAAAAGATCTAGCCTTTTAAAATGTAATTTTTACGATTTTGTTCTCATTTTCTATTTTATTTGTAAGACATCGTAATTCAAACAGTCAAGCTCATTTCATTTTTTGTCTGTTCCCTTATTTACTCTTTTATTCTCCTATATTTTATTTCTATTCAAACTTTTTGACATTATAAAATTTAAAATGAGTTATTGTAAAAATATGCATTGTGTTACAATAAAAAAGTCTGTGAGCTAGAAAAAAACTCTTTTCCTTTTTGAGACAAGGTCTCACTGTTTAGATCTAACTGGCCTGAATTTTGCTGTGTAGACCTCAAACTCACAGAGATCTTCCTGCCTCTGCCTCCCCAGTGCTGGGATTCAAAGTGTGTGCCACCATATCCAGCTCAGGAAACTATATTTCCAGTGTCGAGTCCAGCAAGAAGTGACCAGCAATTCTATTAGAACATGTATAGCTTTCACCATAGAGAGCTAGCTACTTGAAGATACAGGGAAATAGGGACAGTTGTGTTTACTCTGAGATAACAGCGGGTGAGCCTTACATAATCCCTTTCTCTGGTCACAGTTACTATGCCAAGCTACGCCAACAAGAAATTGAAAGAGAGAGAGAGCTAGCAGAGAAGTATCGGGATCGTGCCAAGGAACGGAGAGATGGTGTGAACAAAGATTATGAAGAAACCGAGCTGATTAGTACCACAGCTAACTATAGGGCTGTGGGCCCAACTGCTGAGGCGTGAGTACTAGGGCGGGTTGTAGGTCCCGTTTCCCTTATATCAGAGACATCCACAGCGTGAACAAGGCCTTCTTACTACTCAACCTGCTCTGGAACCCATTCTAAGCCATGTCATAAGGCATTTGTCACCTACAAGGGACTGTTCTAATATATCATTTTTCATTATACAGGGACAAGTCAGCTGCAGAGAAGAGAAGACAGTTGATTCAGGAGTCCAAATTCTTGGGTGGTGACATGGAACATACCCATTTGGTGAAAGGTCTGGATTTTGCTTTGCTTCAAAAGGTGAGTCCTGTTGAGTGTTCATGCTCACCTTGTGAGGTGAGGGAGACACATGGTAGTTCAGACCATTTAATCTGGAAGGGTTAAAGGCGGCTTGTCTGTAGGACTAATTGCTACTCATCCTGCAATTAGCCAAAATTCATCGGGGAAGGTATTCCCTGATGATCCAGGTATGATGAAGGCCCTAAACCCTCACTCCCTTCTCATACAGTCTTCTACTTGACTTCATTAGGTACGAGCTGAGATTGCCAGCAAAGAGAAAGAGGAAGAAGAACTGATGGAAAAGCCCCAGAAGGAAACCAAGTAGGTATTAGGGAAGACTTGAAAATTTAGAAAGTTTCTAAAGTAGGAACACATTTTAGCATAAATTAAATAAATAAATAAAATTTTTGTTCTTTATCTCTTTTCAGGAAAGATGAGGATCCTGAAAACAAAATTGAATTTAAAACACGCCTCGGTGAGTACAGTTTCTATAGTAGTGATTGCATTTTTGGGGAATTGTAGGGAATTTATCTGTGTCAGCAGGATAATCTTTCTGCTTTTTTGCTCTTTAACCAGCAAAAAAAACAGCTCTCCTATAAAATATTCTAATAGAATTCAGACATTGATTTAGTTATTTCCTATGTTATTCATGTCTCTTTAGTTAGACCAAAAGTTCTTTCAGGTCTTTAATCCTTATGTATCAAAGAATAGGATGGGTTGGAGGTGGTGGCACATGTTTGGAATCCTAGCTCTTACAAGGTTGATGCAGGGAGATTGTCATTCAAAGTTAGCATGGGGCTACATAGCAAGACCTTGCTCCAAAAAGCTGGGAGTGGTAGGTGTGGTGGTGCATGCCTTTAATTTTAGCACTCAAGATGCAGAGGCCAAAGGTGGCCAGAGGACAGAGACAGGTGGATTTCTGTGAGCTTGAGGCCAGTCTGGTCTACACAATGAGTACCAAGCCAGCTGGAGCTATAGGGAGACTGTGTCAAAAGAAAAACAAAAAAGCTGAGGGCTTAGGGTGTGGTGATGTACATCTGTAATCCCAGTACTTGGGAGGCTAAAGCAGGGTGATTGAGTTTGGAGCCATCCTGGGCTACATAAAGAGACTGCTTCTCAAAATAAATAGTAAATGGGTAGGTGAATAACATAAAGTAAAAATATGATAGCACGTGGGGCTAGGGAGATAATGCATATAATAAAGTGCTTACTGTGTAAGCATGAGGACCTGAATTAGATCCCCAGAACCCATGTGAAAAAGCCAGGTGTTGGGGCTAGAGGATGGCTCAGTGGTTAAGAGCACTGGTTGCTCTTCCAGAGGACCCAGGTTCAGTTTCCAGCACCCACCTGGCAGCTTAACTGTCTGTAACTCCAATTTTAGGAGATCCTACACCTACACCCTTTTCTGGCTTTGCAGGCATTGCACGATATATGGGTGCACTTATATACATGTATACACTCACACACATAAATTAAAAAAAAAAAAAGAAAAGAAAAAAGCCAGGTGTGATGGTATACTGTTGTGATCCCAGGTGGATTGCTAGGGCTTGCTGGCCAGCCAGTGTGGCTTTCTTTGGTGAGCTCCAGGCCAATGAGAAAAACAAACAAACAAAAAAACCCAAAAGCAAAACGGGGTAGATGGTATCTGAGGAATGACACCTAAGGCGGCCCTTGGCATCTATGTGTGCACATGCGGGTACACACACACACACAGAAGGTAGCATGATTCTTGATTAAAACCTAATATAAATCTGGGCTTGGTGGCACACACCTTTAATCCAGTGCTTAGGGCAGAGGCTGGTGGATCTCTGAGTTTGAGGCCAGCCAGAGCTATATAGAGAGATCTTGTCTCAAAAACAAAACAAAAAAAGCTCAATATGGAAGACTAGATTTGAATCCTGCTGATGAAATCATGCTAGATGTGTTACTTTGCTCTCTTTTTCATATGTAAAGATTGGCTTAATGTGTACCTCAAGATTATTTAGGAATGAAGAGAAATAAAATATGTAACATGTCTATAATACTGACCCTGTAGTATAGCTTTTTTTTTCGTTGTTGTTAATAAACCTTAAACCTTGAGGGCAATCAGATAACTGAGCAGGTAAAAGCCTGCTGTGTAAACCTGGCAACCTGAGTTTGCTCCCGGGAACTCACGTAAACGTGGAAGGGGAAAACTGACTCTACAAAGTTGTCCTCTGACCTCCCATGGGCATCGTGGCACTCTTGCATCTGTACCTCATGCTTCAGACCTATACACATAATAGTAATTTTTAAAAATCAGACAAATAGTCGGGTGTAATGGCAAGGCAGAGGTAGGTGGATCTCTGAGTTCAAGCCAGCCTGGTCTACATAGTGAGTTCCCGGTCAGCTAGAGCTACAGGGAGACCCTGTCTCAAAAAGACCAAAAAGAAAAAAAAAAAAAATCAAACAGAAAACCCCCTTAACTTTCAGCCTTCTACCTCACAGGACTCAATATAATGTGAGCACATAGTACTCTTTTGAAAGCAGTGTGGATTAGAGAGTAGGAGCTCAGGTTTTGGAGTTAAACTGCCAGGGTCCCATATTTTGCTTTGTTATATGATTTCAGGTAAATCACTTCTCAGCCATAGTTGTTTTTTTTTGTTGTTTGTTTTTTTGAGACAGGATCTCCCTGTAGCCCCAGCTGGTGTGGTACTCACTGTGTAGAGACCAGGCTGGCCTCGATATCTAGAGATCCACCTGCCTCTGCCTCTTGACTGCTTGGATTTAAAGGCGTGCACTATCATAAGATGCCTGAGGAGGCCAGAAAAAGGTGTCAGATTCCCCCAGGACTGGAGTTATGGATGACTGTTAGCCGTTGGGAATGTGGTGCTCGGAATCAAACCCGGGTCCTCTGCAAGATTAGTCAGTGCTCTTAACTTCTGAGCCAGCTCTCGGGCTGGCTAGAGCCTGAAGCCTTAGTATTCTTTTTTTTTTTTTTAATATTTTATTTTATTTATTTATTTTTATGTGTATGTGTGTATTGCCTGCATGTAGGTAAGTGCACCTATGTTGTGCAATACCCGAGGAGGACAGAAGAGGCTGTCGGATCCCCTGGAACTGGAGTTACAGACAGTTGTTAGCTGCCATGTGGGTGTTGGGATTCAAACCTGGGTCTTCTGCAGGAAAATTCAGTGTTCTTAACCACTGAGCCATCTCTCCAGCCCGGAAGCCTTAGTATTCTTAACCAGTAAAAAGTGCCTATCTTACAGGATTGTTTGAAGGTGTGAGTAGCAGCATTTGTCTTGGTGCCTTGTATAAAGATTTAATAAATGGCCTGGAGTGGTGGTGCATGCCTTTAATCCCAGCACTTGGGAGGCAGAGGCAGGAAGATCTCTGTGAGTTCAAGGTCAGCCTGGTCTACATACTGAGTCCCAGGCCAGCTGGGGCTACAGGGAGACCTTGTCTCAAAAATGACCCCCCTCCCCACAAAAAAGAAAGATTTAATAAATGACTACTGTTCGATAAAAGTTTATCATTCTCTATTTGCTATTCTTCCCCTTTGTGTAGGCCGAAATGTTTATCGTATGCTTTTCAAGAGCAAAGCATATGAGCGAAATGAGCTGTTCTTACCGGGTCGAATGGCCTATGTGGTAGACCTGGATGATGAGTATGCAGACACGGATATCCCCACCACTCTCATCCGCAGCAAGGCTGATTGTCCCACGATGGAGGTGAGTAACCAAGTTCTGAGAGCCGTCATAGGATCCTCAAACCTGACATTCTGCCTTGCCTTTGTCCTGTATATCATCTCATCACCAAGTTCTGTCCACATTTTATCTCCTCAGTCTCAGTTGAATCTATTCAATTTCATACCCACCAGCAATATTCTTGTGTAAACCACATTGCTTGGTGCAACTATTAAAAGACTGCCTGGGCTGTTTTTCCCATTCCCACCCATTTCTGTTCCAGTGTATTATTTTTTTTTTCAGCTTTAATACACATGCTATATAATCTACCCTTTTACTATATACTTCAATAACCACTATCAAAATCCAAAATTTTAGAGTATTTTCCTTACCCCCCAAAAGAAACCCTGTACTCTTTAGCCATCCATCACTCCTCCTGAGTTTCTTCATCCTAGTTAATGTTTTTTTTTGGTTTTTTTTTTTTTTTTTTTTGGTTTTTTTTTGGAGAAAGAGTCTCCCTGTAGTCCCAGTTGACCTGGAACTCACTATGTGGACTATGTAGAGTTTGGGAGTTCTCCCTCTGTTTCTACCTTTTTGAATGATTTAAGTAAGGTTGGAGGTCTGTTTTAAATGTCTGATAGAATTTTGCTGTAAATCCATGTGGGCCTGAGCTTTTTTTAGTCGGGAGGTTTTGTATGACTGTTTCAATTTCCTTATATGTTATGGGTCTGTTTAAACTGTTGATCTCTTCTTAGTTTAGCTTTGGTGGTTCCCTTGATTTCAGGTATTCATCAATTTCTTTTAGGTTTTCAAATTTAATAAAGTATACCCTTAAAATGTTCTGGGTCTTTGGGTGTCTGTTGTGATGTTTCCCCTTTCATCTCTAATTTTGTTGATTTGGATTTGATCTTTCTTTCTATGGTCATCTGGGCTAAGGGTCTGTTTTTCTGTTTAGCTTTTCAAAGAACCAGCTCTTAGATTCATCGTTTTTCTGCATTGTTTTCTTTGTTTCTATTTCATTCATTTCTGCTCTTGATTTTTGTTATTTTTTACTCATCTGCTGTGTTTGGGTTTAATTTCTTCCTACCTTTCCAGAGTCTTGAGCGCAATGTTACATCATTTGTGCTCTTTCTGTTTTTTTTTTTTTTTCCTGGTTGTTTTGAGACAAGGTATCCCTGTAGCACCAGTCGGCCTGGAACTCGCTATGTGGACCAGGTTGGCCTTGAACTCACAGACATCCGCCTGCCTCTGCCTCTGCCTCTGCCTCCGGAGTGCTGGGATTAATGACTTTAATGGCTTGTGCCACCATGCCCAGCCTTTCATCAATGGCTTTTACACATGACCAGGGTGATTTTTTTTTCTTTTTTTGTAAAAGCAAATTTTCGTTTCATGAGCACATAGACGCTTTCTGTGGTTTCTCATTCATAAGGTTCAGAGTGCTGGGTGTGGTGGTGCATACCTGTAGTCCCAGCACTTGGGAGGCAGAGGCAGGTGGATCTCTGTGAGTTCAAGGCCAGTCTGGTCTACATAGTGAGTTCCAGGCCAGCTGAGACTACAGGGAGACCCTGTCTCAAAAAGACCAAAAGACAAAAATAAAAAAAACCCCGTAAGGTTCAGAGTAAAATCTCCACAACAGGTGTGTGAGTCCCTGCAACATCTGGACTGTCTAGCCTCTTTTCATTTTGGCTCTTTGTTTGTTTTCTGGGTTTCCTGGATTTTCTAATTTTTTTTAAAAATTTTTTTAAAATGTTCTATATTTTTAGTTCAGGGTCTTGCATGCCATTTCATCTATCTGGAATGTTCTTCATTACATCTTTCCTGTCTTCTCCCTAACTAACTTAATTTAAGTGATTGAATGAATAATAGATGATGAGATTCCAGCTAAGAAGGATAATATTCTTCCTTTTTGGGTTTTCCAGGCCCAGACTACACTGACTACAAATGACATTGTTATTAGCAAGCTCACTCAGATTCTTTCATACCTGAGGCAGGGTACCCGAAACAAGAAGCTCAAGAAGAAGGATAAAGGTACCTGGAAGGGTATCTTGGAGGGGCACATGGTGGTGGAACCAAGGTCTCCTGGAGCCTGCTGTCTATAAGGCATTGGGTGGCTTCTAGGGAGCAGAGAAAAATGGGAGAAATGGAGCATTGGCAAGATGAGTGTACTCAAATTGTGTCTGCTTGAGCCACTTAGAATTCAGTGGTCAGGTTTTAAGTGTGGAGACTGAGTAGCTTTTGTCCATTCTAAACAGAAGGTCATTGAAAAGATGCTGAGAATGTTCCTCACTCCTCTCTTTACACTTCAGGAAAATTGGAAGAAAAGAAACCCCCTGAAGCAGACATGAAGTAAGTATCCTTGCCCCAAGGCACCTGATGTGAGCAAGGGGATCTGTGTTTCTTGTCTTTGGCCCTTTTGGAGAAATAGCCAGCATAGATAATGTATGATTTTAGCAACTACTGATACCTGTTTTTCACAGCATTTTTGAAGACATTGGGGATTATGTTCCCTCCACAACTAAGACACCACGGGACAAAGAGCGAGAGAGATACCGGGAACGTGAACGTGATCGAGAGAGGGACAGAGACCGGGAGCGAGAGCGAGATCGGGAGCGAGAGCGAGACCGGGAGCGAGAGCGAGAGGAGGAAAAGAAAAGGCACAGCTACTTTGAGAAGCCAAAGGTGGATGATGAGGTGAGATGTGGGCCCTTGGTACCAGGTTGTGAAACTACTTTCACTATGTCTTTATAGCTAGGTGAAGGACTCTTTGATTCTTCAGGAGCCTTGTGGCTTCACAATTGCAACTGGGTCAGTTGACCCAGGGCAGATACCATTCTGGAAATAGTCCAAAGGTGGACTACTGAATCGTTCAGACTTGGGGGTGGGATGAGTGGGGATTCCTCATAACGACACTCATCTCAGTTTTTGTTTTGTTTTGTTTTCAGCCTGTGGATGTTGACAAAGGTGAGTTGTAGCCACAGCATCTTACATTGGCCCTAACAGTCCTGCTTTCCCTGCTAATCAAAGCTGGTGAGGGTGGGATGGGGAAACTTCCTAGTTTTAGTCTCTCATAAGAACCATGTCTTACATTATGGAATAAGCAGGATAATTTGGAGTTCCTGGGCTTTTTTGGGCGGTACCAGAGAATATTTGCTTTTAGGTAGAATTCTTCCAGTCCTAAGATTTTGAGGTGATCTTAAGGTTGAGTAATACAATATTCTGGATCTATTACTCTCAACTAGAATAGCTCATTATTTATTGGAATTTACTTAAAATTGTGTTGTTATAAAGGTTTGTGTTGCTTTAAAAGCTTATTTAGGGGCTGGAGAGATGGCTCAGTGCTTAAGAGCACTAGCTGTTCTTATAGAGGACCCAGATTTGGTTCCTCCCGTGTGGTGGCCAGATTTGGTTCCACCCACATGGTGGCCAACACTGGTCCTTAACTCTTCTGGCCTCCATAGGCACCAGACACATGTGTGGTGCATTTAACATACATGGAGACAAAACGACTCATACACATAAAATAAAAATAAGTAAAATCTTTTGTTTTTTGAGACAGGGTCTCCCTGTAGCTCCAGCTGGCCTCAATCTCACAGAGATCTACCTGTCCCTTTCTGAGTGCTGGGATTAAAGGTGTGTGACAAGCCAGCCTCATCTTAAAAATGATAACAAAACTTGTTTAAATTAGCAAGACATGGTTGTGTTTGCCTGTAATCAGCATTCTAGAGGCTAATGTAGGAGGATCAGGAGTTCAGGGCCAGCCTGAACTCTATATATAGAGTTCCAGGTCAGCCAGGGCTACATGGTACAACCATGTCTCAAATATCAACAAACAAAACAAACAAACAAAACCCAAAACTTATTTATTGGTTTAGTGAGTGTATTTGGCTTGGATGTGCTGGAGCAGACCGGTGGAAGTCGGAATACGACTTTTGAGAATCCTCTACTTCTGTCATGTAGGTTCTGGGGATTAAACTCAGGTTATCAGGCTTGGTGACAAGGCCCTTACCTACTGAACCATCTTGCAGCCCCAAAGAAACATTTTTATATTTGGAAGTGTGTTTTAGGGAGGCGGTTATGAGAACATCAGTTCAGAGTCTCACAGAGTTGTCTCTTCTCCCAGGACCTGGGTCTGCCAAAGAGTTGATCAAGTCCATCAATGAAAAATTTGCTGGGTCTGCTGGTTGGGAAGGCACCGAATCATATCCTTTATTTAAATTTGCTCCCAGGTTTTATAGTTTTATTTATCTTGAGACAGCATCTCTCTCTAGCCCAGGCTGGCCTGCAATTTGAGATCCTCCTGTTTTTGCCTCCCGAGTTCTGAGATTATGGCATGCTCTACCATGCCTGGTTGTCCCTGGGTTGTAGAGGGCCATTTTCTTTTCATTCCAGTTCTGTTTCTCTGTTCCCTTTTACCTGTCCTTGTTCTCTTGCCTTTTATGCCATATTTTGGCTAGGATGAAATCATGCTTTGCCTCTTTGCCCAAGGACCACCAATTGAAGCTCACAGATAGCTTCTGAGAATTTTCATGTTGAGGGCTCTAGCCGTGGCCCCTCTTATCTGAATCTTTTCTGCAAGTGATGTAATTCTCTTTAACATAGCATATGCTGAAGAAGCCAGAAGACAAGAAGCAGCTGGGTGATTTCTTTGGGATGTCTAACAGTTATGCAGAGTGCTATCCAGCCACGTACGTGAAACTCTGTTGGGGAGGTTGAGATGTCTAAGCAATGAGATTGAGATGTCTGAGCAATGAGATTGAAATTTGACCTGTTTAGAGGTGGTTACTTCTTTCTTGGGTGAATTCTTCTATTTAGCTCTGAGAAGTTTAGTGGGATGATCACACATAAATGGCCTGTTAGTTGATTGGGGTTTATGAATAAAATACAATAGTCTGGATCTAAAGCATCTTTTAACTGTCCTTTGTCTTTAGGATGGATGATATGGCTGTGGATAGTGATGAGGAGGTGGATTATAGCAAAATGGACCAGGTATGAAGCTAGAAGGATGTGAAAGAGTGGAACCTTTGAGTGGAACTCTTCTACTTTATTTTTATTTTTTTGTGTAACCCTGACTAAACTAGAACTCCCAATGTAGACCAGGCTGGCCTTGAACTCACAGAGATCCACCTGCTTCTGCCTCCTGAGTGCTGGGATTAAAAGCATGTGCCACCACACCCAGCTGCAGTCTTTTTTTTTTTTTGAACTGAATTTCATTACATTTGTTTGACAATGGGGTGCAGCAGTATGTGCCACAGTGTGCATGTGGAAGTTAACTTTTGGGAGTCAGTTATGTTGTACTGTGTGGGTTCCATAGATTAACCTTAAGTCATCAGGCTTGGTGACAAGTAACATTATTCAAGTCTTCTTGCCGGCCCAAGAATTGCAATCTTTAGAAAATAATCAAATTTTTTTTCCAAGCAGGGTTGAAGTTTTTCTGCCTTAAACAAAAGGTAATAGTAGAAACAAACCCATCACAAACACCATGAGTTCTAAAGAACTCTCATATACTTTTCCCTTGTTCTTAGGGTACTGTAGTGTTGATTAAGAGATTTTTTTTTTTTTTTTTCCTTTTGAGACAGACTTGTAGCCTAAGCTGGTTACATAGCTGTGGATGACCTTGAACTCCTGTTCTTTCTGTCTCTATCTCTCCAGTGCTGGGATTTCAGATGATAGGTATATACTAACATGCCCAGCTGAAATTACTTTTTTTTTTTTCTTTCTTTCTTTTTTTGAGACAGGGTCTCCCTAAACTCTCTGCAGACCAGGCTGGCCGCTATCTCATAGAGATCTATCTGTGTCTGTTTCCAGAGCTCTGGGATCAGAGATGTGCACCACTGTGCTGGGCTAAAATTATTTATTTTTTTCGGTATGGGGATTGACCCCAGGACCTTGTGCTAGCTAGGCACGTGCCATATCACCAAGTACAGCCACATCCCCAGCAAACCCCTTTGTTTTTTTCTGCTGTCCTAGGGATCAAACCCATTGTTTTGCATGTGGTAGGCAGGTGTTTTACCATTGAGCTACATACCAAAAGCATGCTTTACTCTTCTTGGATCCTTGTTTAATTTTGCGACCTTGCCAAATTCCTTTCCTTTTTAGAATTGCCTTAGTTTCTATTATCAGGAAAATAGAAATATAATTCTCATTTTAGACATACTTTTTTTTTTTTTTTTTTTTCTTTTTGAGACAGGGTCTCCCTGTAGTCCCAGCTGGCCTGAACTCACTATGTAGACCAGGCTGGCCTTGAACTCACAGAGCTCTGTCTGCCTCTGCCTCTTGAGTGCTGGGACTACATATATTTTTTTTAAAAGACAGATTCATTCTGTAGCACCAGCTGGCCTGGAACCTATATAGACCAGGCTACAGGCTAGTAGGCTGGTTCCCATCTCACAGAAATTCATCTGCCTCTGTCTGTCTCCCAAGTGCTGGGATTAAAGGTGTATACCACCACGCCTTCACTTTAGACTTTTTTTTTTGCCTTTTTGAGACAGGGTCTCCCTGTATTCTCAGCTGACCTGGAACTCACTATGTAGACCAGGCTGGCCTTGAACTCACAGTGATCCGCCTGCCTGTGCCTCCCCAGTGCTGGGACTAAAGGCGTATGCCACCACATCCTAGACTTTTTGTAAGAATGTATGTGTTTAGTGTTCAGAGTAATACCTATAATGTAAGTATGTATAAAATATTAGGTAAGATTTATTACTGGTGGAATCTTGGATTGTGGGAATGTGGCTTTATTCAGAGAGAAAATTCCTTTTCCATTGATGCCCCTTCTATCTCCTGCTCTGCCACAGGGTAACAAGAAGGGTCCCTTAGGTCGCTGGGACTTTGATACTCAGGAGGAATACAGCGAATATATGAACAACAAGGAGGCATTGCCTAAGTGAGTTGGTACTAAATATGGACTGAGAATGAGGAGGGTGTGTTGGTTGGGTGGACTAGCCCACATCAGGTTAGAGGCTGTAGTCTAGCTGATGTGTTTCCAGATAGGTAGTCTGCCCACAGAGCCCTTTGAGAAAATCTTTCTCATGGAGACTTCTAATGCCTTCTTCCCCAATGGTCTTTTCAGAGCTGCATTCCAGTATGGTATCAAGATGTCTGAAGGACGGAAAACCAGACGCTTCAAGGAAACCAATGATAAAGCAGAGCTTGATCGTCAGTGGAAGAAAATTAGTGCAGTAAGTGGACTCTTTCTTAGCTGGGAGGGTTTCAGTTGAGAAGAGACACTTGTTGAGAACAGGTTGGATGGGAGAGCCATGGGAATAGAGAGGTCACCTTTGGGTTTAAGTGAACTTACATTGTTAGCATGCTTATAAACTATTACTTTTCTTTCACAGATCATTGAGAAAAGGAAGAAGATGGAAGCTGATGGGTAAGCAGCATTCTTTCTCTGTGAGACTGGTGGGGATTGTTCAGTGTTTTAATCTCATGCTAATCTTTCTCCTTTTATTTCAGAGTTGAAGTGAAAAGACCAAAATACTAATCTCCATTTGTAACTATCACCATATAGATGCTCTCAATTGTTTGTTTCTATAATTCCTAGAGAGGTTGAAGGTGTTTTTGTGAATGTTTATAAACTTTTATTATGTAATCATTTGTTGCATTAAAATCAGTTAACTTACTGTCTTGTCTTTTATGTTGAGCATTCCTCTCAAGGGCCCCTTGAAGAATGCTCGTTCCCCCGATTGTGTAAAACAGAAGGTGCTGGGGCTGGAGAGATGGCTCAGCAGTTAAAATCACTGGTTGCTTTTGCAGAGGACCTGGGTTCGATTCCCAGCACCCACATGGCAGCTAACAACCATCTATAATTCCAGTTCCTGGGAATCTGACACCCTTTTCTGACCTCTGTGGACATTGCATGATACAGGTGCATTTACATCTGCAGGCAATACACTCATACAAATAAAATAATAATAAATAAAATACTTGAAAGACCCAGAAGATCTCTTTTTTCTGAGCTAATTCTAGATTTCTAGATAGTAAGGATGTTTACTAGTGTTTCCAGCGGAGAAGGGAAAAATAACTCGGAGATGGGCACAAGAAGATAGGTGTAAAGCTGAACGGTCAGATTCATTCTGTCCTATCTGGGGCCTACTCCTGAAGCTGAGAGTACATGGACATTAAGATCATCCTGATGTTAAGGCTGCACCTAACTGGACTTTTGGTGAAGGTGTATGATGAAAATTACTTCAGGAAAGAAAAGCTTCCGTGCCCTCATGGGAGCTTCAGTAATGCAGTTTGTTGGAATCATTGCCTCCTTGGCTGAAGGAGTAACCTTGGGGGAGTGCCTTGAATAAAACTGGTACACCCTCCTATCCAAAAGATTTTGATACCCTTCACCCTTGAAAGTTTGCCAAGGCCCAGGGTATGCCTACTAAGTCTTCCTATCCTTCCATCCCTTCCCCTCCTTTCTGCTTATTGCCAGTACTTTGGTCTGTGGGTTTTTAGGGGTCTCCAGTTTGTGTCTGCATGCTACATTTCTTTCATTGCCTACTGTGAGGTCAAGGAAAGCTAAGCTTTCCATAATTTTTGATCATTTTCATACTGATTGGCAAGGACTTTTTGTTTTAGTGACACTGGGCATCAAATAGCTTTGTGTAAGCACTCTACCACTAAGTTAAACCCCCAGATTTAGGAAACAGATTTTTGAGGAAGTCAGCTTTGTCAATAGTACTGTTTTGTTTTTTTGGTCTTTTTGAGACAAAGTCTCGCTGTAGCCCCAGCTGTCCTGGAGCTCACTATGTAGACCAGGCTGGCCTTGAACTCACAGAGATCTGCCTGCCTCTGCCTTCCAAGTGCTGGGATCAAAGGCTTGCACCACCATGCCTGGCTGTCAGTAATGCTTTAAGAGATAGAAATTGGACCCTGTCTCAAAAACACCTGGAATGGCTTAAAAGAGAAGTGATACCTTGGTTCCATGGTTATAGGCTGTCCCAATTAGAAAAAAAGGCACAGAGATATGGTTCATATAGATACCTAGAGGCAATAAAAGTAAGATTTATGGGTTGACTGCCAGTTTAAAATTCAGTTTCTGCAAGTAACTCCAACCCTCCAGTCAGCAAAAAGAATATTAAATAACTCTTTGAAATCCTTAACCTCATTTCACCTTTTATTTTTATTTTTGGTCTTTCTGAGGTAGGGTCTCCCTGTAGTTATAGCTGGCCTGGATTCACTATGGAGACTAGGCTGGCCTTGAACTCAGAGATCCACCTGCTTCTGCCTCCCAAGCGGTAGGATTAAAGGCATGTGCTACCATGCCGATTGCACTTCTTTTTTTCTTTTTAGTATCTTATTTTTATTTTATGTGTATGAGTGTATTGCCTGCATGTAGGTAAGTGCACCCATGCTGTGCAATGCCCACAGAGGACAGAAGAGGCTGTCGGATCCCCTGGAACTGGAGTTACTGACAGTTGTTAGCTTCCATGTGGGTGCTGGGATTCGAACCCGGGTCTTCTGCAAGATCAGCCAGTGTTCTTAACCGCTGAGCCATCTCTCCAGCCCCGTCACCACTTCTTTTTTTTTTTAATTAGGTTTTATTTTTGTGTATGAGTGTTTTGCCTGTACCATGTGCACACAGTGCTGGCCAAAGCCAGAAGAGAGGGGTTGGAACCTCTTGGGACTGAAATTACAGTTGTGAGCCACAACTGAGAACTGAACCTGTGTCCTCTGCAAAAGCAAGCAGTGCTCTTAACCATTGAGCCATTTCTCCAAGCCCCCTCACCTCTTTTAAAGTGTGTTAGGCTTCGGCAGATGCCTTAAAACGCTTCGTTGCACAGAAATCTGAGCTGGTCTACACCTTGGCTGTCCCACAATGTAGAGGGCTTTCATCATTGGAGTCTTTGGTAACAGGGAGCCCAGAACGTCATGTTTATTTTCCTCTTTAGGATTTCCTGACTAGCTAGAGCAAACCGGTATGGCCGATGAAGGAGCTTGAATTGTAGGAACCCTAATAGGCTGGGCACTCCTTGTTCGTTCGGAGGCCACGAAAACGTAGGTGTGGGCAGAAGTTTGAGGCTGTATGCCAATTGCCTCTGGTGAATATACCCTGAATCAATTTAGGGCTGTGGACTTTTGTTGCTTCCTACACCCTGCCTACCGGTTGCAAGGGTTTTGGATTTCACTAAGTCAGGAATGACTGGTACTGAAAGAACTTTAAGCGTTTCCCAACTTTAAGTGACTAGGGTGGGAGGGAAGACATTAAAGGTCTAGCTTGCCCAAGCACAGGCCATAGCAAGGCAGAATTGTGGGGGTTTGGGGGCCCGGGGGTGGGGGGGGTAACTGCGAGATGGCCTAGCAGGTGAAGAGCTGGCCAAGCAAAAACAGGATCCGAGTTTAATACCCGGAACTCAAGGTGGGAGGAGAACACGCAAAAGATGGGCCTTGGAAACCAGGTCTGTCCCAAGGCCCTAATACACCACTGGCAGCCGGCTCCGCCTCACCCACATCCGCACTGGTGCACTTCCGGCCCCGCCTCTGCGCGGAAGCTGTGTCGATAGGCCACGCCTCCTGGAATACAGTTGAGTAGGTGCTGCCTGCTGGTTCCCCATGGATCTCGTGGGTCGCGCGTGTTTGAAAAGTCCGGCCGAGGATGGGAGCGATGAAGAGGAAGACCCTGATGCCACAGAAGCAGCACCCCGAATCCGGGACACCCCAGAAGACATCGTGCTGGAAGCTCCAGCCAGTGGGCTGGCTTTCCATCCGACCCAAGACCTGCTGGCCGCAGGGGACGTGGACGGGGACGTGTTTGTGTAAGGTGCAGGGCAGGGGCGTGGTCGGCGCGTAGCCTGGTCCTGACGCTCCTCCGAGCGACGGAAGTGGGAGGAGGCAATGCTGTAGGGAGAACAATTTACGAAACTAAGCGGCCGATTCCTTCAGTAACATTCAGCTTTAAGCAAATTACTGTACCAATCTGCGTTAAATAGGATAAAATAGTTGGAATGTGTTGACCCAGAGACCACCGTAGCAGGACAAAAAAGCACCTGAAGCACTATTTCCCACCGAACGTACTGAGTCTGAAGTTTATTTGGCTTATTGTATTTGACCCTTTAAATGATCACTTTGAGACATGATCCTCTTTTATTTTATTATTTTTATTTTATGTGTATGAGTGTATTGCCTGCATGTATGTGAGTGCACCCGTGTTGTGCAATGCCGCGGAGGTCAGAAGAGGGCTTCGGATTCCCACAGAACTGGAGTTAAGGACGGTTCGTAGCCGCCATGTGGGTGCTGGGAATCGAACCCAGGTCCTCTACAAGAGCATTCAGAGCTATCTCTCCAACCCCATGATCCTCTTTTTAAAAAAAATTTATTTTGGGGCCTGACGTGGTGGTGCACTTCTTTAATCCCAGCACGCCTTTAATCCCAGGCCGAGGCAGGTGGATTTCTGTGAGTTCAAGGCCAGCCTGGTCCACATAGTAAGTTCCAGGTCAGCTGGGAATACAGGGAGACCCTGTCTTGAAAAGACCAAAAAGAAAAAAAGTTCTGTGTATGAGTGTATTGCCTGCACCCGTGTTGTGCAATGGCCGCCCGCGGAGGTCAAAAAAAGGCATCTGAAGGTTGTCAGCAGCCATGTGGGTGCTGGGAATCGAACCCGGGCCGGGTCCTCTGTAAGAGCAGTCAATGATCTTAACCCTGAGCCATCTCTTCAGTCCCAACGTAGTTCTCTTTTGTCCCATCTGGCCTGGAACTCAAAAAGATCCCTGATTCAGCCTCCTGAATGCTGGGATTAAAGGTGTGGTGTGCACCAACTCACCTGGCTAAAACTTTTTAATAAAATTTTTATGTGTGAGTGTTTTGCCTGGGTGTAAATGTACCAGTGCTGTGCAGTACCCATGGAAGCTTCCAAACAGCATTGGATCTCCTGGAACTGGAGTTACAGACAGTTGTTAGCTATCTCTCCAGCCCCTAAAACAGACTTTAATCCAGCTTTCAAGGCCCTTTGCCCCTGGCCTTTACCTAATCTTTTGTTTCCTGTGTCCATTCATCTTTACCTTTCTTAGCCTGGTGAAACCTCAGCTATGAAGCACATGCTATTCTTTATTGGGAAACTTTGCCATCACTTTTACCTACTGTTCTCAGTGTCTGTTCAGCATCCTCCATGGTTTTTTTTAAATTAGGTACTTGTTAAATGGTGCCATAGTATAGACATCATGGTACTTTTTTGAGGCAGAGCCTCTTTTTTGAACTTGGACCTGGCTGATCACAGCTAGCCAGCTTGCCCCAGGGATCCCATCTCTGTCTCCCAAGTGCTGGCTGCCATATCTTCCCAGTCTTTACATGGATTCTGAGGAATCTGAACTCCAGTGGCAAGCAGTTTATCCACTGAGCCATCCCTCAGTTCTCTACCTTTATTTTGATCTAACTTGTCAGTACTGCGACATTGGTCACAATATATTATAAATAACTGTCTCTAGTTTCTGTGGACCCTGATTTTTACCCTTCCCATTTCTGTGACTGGTTTTCTGTCACTGGTTCTTTTGCTTTGATTTTCTTAAAAAAAAAAAATTTATTTATGTATGAGTGTATTGCCCACATGTAAGTGCACCCATGTTGTGCAGTGCCTGTGGAGGTCAGAAGAGGGCGTTGGATCCACTGGAACTGGAGTTATGGACATTTTTTAGCCACTATGTGGGTGCTGGGAACTGAACCTGTGTCCTCTGCAAGAGCAGCCAGTGTTCTTAATCACTGAGCCCTCTCTCTAGCCTTTCGCTTTTTCTTTTGAGACCAGAACTCATTACGTTGCCTAGCCCCCAGAGTTCTTAGGAGTACAGGCACTTACCACAACACCCAGTCATTAATGCTTCAGACCCGGTCTTTCCCCAGGCTGGAGCCTTTTTTTGAGACAGCATCTCCCTGTGTCCCAGCTGGCCTAGAACTCACTATGGAGACCAGCCTGGCCTTGATCTTACAGAGATCATTCACCTGCCTCTCTGCCCCCAGGAGTGCTGGGATTAAAGGAGGTTGCACAGTTTAGAGGCTTAAAAATTTTTTTGTTGTTCTTTTGAGATGAGTTCTCCCTGTATCCCCAGCTGGCCTGGAACTCAGAGATCCACCTGCCTCTGCCTCCCAAATGCTGGGACTAGAGGCGTGCACCACCATGCCCTCAAAAATTTTTTAAAAAAATTTGATGTGTATGAGCATTTTGCCTGTATGTATGAAAATATACCCATGTCATACATTGCCTGTGGAGGCCAGAAGAGGGAGTTAGATCCCCTGGAACTGGAGTTATAAGTTGTTAGCTGCCATGTGGGTGCTTGCAACCAAACCTGGGTCTTCTGCAGCTAGTGCTCTTAACCACTGAGCCATCTCTCCAGCTGCAAGGCTGGAGCTTTAGAGGATGGTGAAGAGGGTAGGGTGTGGTGGTACATGCCTATAATCCCAGGACTCAGGAGACTGAGACAAGACAATCACAAGTTCCAGGCTAGCCTTGCTACATAGTGAGACCTTGTTCCTACCCTCTCTACTCTCCTAAAATATAGTTTTATGCAAATAAACTTAACATTTGAAGTTAATTGAAAATGAATAAAAGGGGTCTGGAGGGATGGCTCAGTTGGAGAGCACTTGCCTACCATGTGTGAGGTCTTTAGTGCAGTTTCCAGCACTACAAAAAAAGAGAAAATGGATAAACAGAATGGTAAGCACTTTGGAAGTGTCCTAGACAGGAAGGTTGGTCTCCATAATGCTGCATGCATTCCAGGTGTGGTATGGAGTCATGCACTCTCTTTTCTCTGTCCTCAGCTTTTCCTACTCTTGTCAGGAGGGAGAAACGAAGGAGCTCTGGTCCTCAGGGCACCATCTCAAGTCCTGCCGGGCTGTGGTCTTCTCTGAAGATGGGCAGAGTAAGTACGGGGAAGGCAGAGAGCCATATGGAGGTGGGGAGGGGGACAGCGAGCAGTACCATAATCTGGGCACTTTTCCCCTTAGAACTTGTTACTGTCTCCAAGGACAAAGCAATCCATATTCTAGATGTGGAACAGGGCCAGCTGGAAAGACGAATTTCCAAGGCTCATGGGTAAGGAGAATCAATTGGGTGTACGTGCGTGGAGGTGAGGGGTAAGGACCAAGAGGTTTCTCCTAAAACAAAGAGGCTCCAAGTTCTGTATCTGTGTCTCCAGTGCCCCCATCAACAGTCTGCTGCTTGTGGATGAAAATGTTCTGGTTACTGGGGATGACACAGGTTGTATCCGGCTCTGGGACCATCGGAGAGAGGGTCCGTTAATGGATATGCGGCAGCATGAGGAGTACATTGCTGACATGGCTCTGGACCCAGCCAAAAAGCTGCTGCTGACAGCCAGGTATGACCTCAGTAGGGAAACAACCAACTCCCTATTTCTCCTCCTGGAATGCTTGGTGTTACAAGTAATCCTGTATTAGTGTCTTCCAAAAAGAGAGCTTCCTGTTAAACCTCTTCATTTGTTCTCTACAGTGGAGATGGCTGCCTTGGTGTCTTCAACATCAAGCGACGCCGGTTCGAGTTACTCTCAGAGTCTCAGTCCGGGGATCTGACCTCTGTCATCCTCATGAAAGTACAGCTGGGTATGATGGGATGGGGTACGTTTGCTAGGGGCTTGTTCTGAGGTGACTCCACAGACGTGGTATACCCTATTTCCCTACAGTATGGGAAGAAGGTGGCCTGTGGCTCTAGTGAAGGAACCATCTACCTTTTCAACTGGAACGGTTTTGGGGCTACAAGTGACCGATTTGCCCTGAGAGCTGAATCTATTGATTGCATGGTTCCAGTTACTGAGAATCTACTGTGCACTGGCTCTACTGATGGAATCATCAGGTGAGGGAAGCTGGCCCTTGGGCTACAGATGTGTAAGTCAAGCTAGCCAGTTCCTAATACTTTTCTCTGTTCAGGGCTGTAAACATCCTGCCAAACCGAGTGGTGGGCACTGTGGGCCAGCATGCTGGGGAGCCTGTGGAGGAGCTAGCCCTTTCTCATTGTGGCCGCTTTTTGGCCAGTAGTGGTCATGATCAGCGCCTCAAGTTTTGGGACATGACTCAACTTCGAGGTGTGGTTGTGGATGACTACCGGAGACGTAAGAAAAAGGGAGGGCCACTGCCACTGCGTGCCCTGAGCAGCAAGGCCTGGAGCACTGATGACTTCTTTGCAGGGCTGAGAGAAGAGGGAGAGGATTCTAAGGCTCCAGAGAAGCTGATGAAAGAAAGTGATGATGACAGTGACTGAGGATGAGTAGACTCTTAGGGACATGTCTTCACTGAACAAGAGACCCTTGTTCCTAGGATGGATTCCCTACAGAAATGTACTTTTTTGATGCTACAGATTGAACCCTTGACTGAGCTCTACCACTAAGCTATATCCCAAGTCCTAAGACAGGAATTTGCAATACCTATTAATGCCATGTAAGAAGTTACATAAACTCAGGGCACTGAAGTGGGCAAGTATTTGCTCACCTTGTCATTGTAAAACAAATGTTCCGCTGTGGTAAGACAGCACAGACACTATATGTATATACCAACCAGGGGTTTAATATAAATACAACCAGTATAGAAAAACTCAAAACCATATAAAACCAAAACCAGAATGATAAATTGTAGGGTGAAGGGCCCTTTGGCCTAGCCAGTTCTCTAAATAAAAACAAAGATTCATACTAAGCATTTGTATGGGGACGTGTGTATCACACTGGGAATGGCCAAGGATACAGGATCAAGGATCAAGTCAGACCCTGGGCTCAGTGGGGGAGAGCAAGGTTCCACACAACTAAGGCAGCAAATAGGTGTGATGAGGCTCTGTCCTAGCAGGGAAGCTGTCACAGGGTCCACCGATAGTGGCTGCCCAGGCCTGCTGGGCTAGGAATTTGACACATGCTGTGCCTACCCATTTGGGCTGCCTGTAGAGAGAGAGGAAGGGGTCACTGCTTAACCACAGTACCTGCTACAGCACCTGGAGACCACAAGAAGCCACCCCCAGACTCACTGAGTGCCTCTAGCAGCTGCATAGACACAGCATCCTTGGCCACCTCATGCCCATCGTGCTGATCAGAGGGCAGCACAACCCAAATGAGGCCACTGAAAGGCACTGGATGTCCAGGGATTACCACCTGGTACCAGAAGCGGTGCCAGCCAGCAGGTCCTGTGGCCAAACACTTGGTAAGGAACACTGGGCTGCCCAGCTTCATTCGGTGACAAAGCAGCTGCAGAGCAGCCCGAGCCCCTTGGAACCCTAGGTTGTCCCTGGTCAGGGCCAGTTGGCTGCCACCTGGCCACAGGCACCGCAGTGAAGGACGTGTAACATGTTGGCGGAGATGCTGCTTCAGGTCAGGCTTGAGCCACTCCACCACCACCTGCTCTCCACAGAGGCGTGAGTGCCCTGCAAGAAAAAGGCAAGAGACAAGGGCAGATCTAAACACGGGCACAAGCCAAGCCCTGCGGAGTTGACTAGAGTCCTTTGGTAGTGACTTGCTACAGGCCTTGTTTAATGCCTCTCCTTCCTCCTGGTGGAGACCCACTACTCTAGGCTTCATTGTATTCATTTGTAAAGGAGGTGTATTAAGGGCTACCTTCTAAGTGTCTTCTGCTCGATTTGGGCTTTACCTAATAACCATCACAAAGGCCAAGATTATGAATCAAGGAAAGCCGACTCCAGAAACCATAGGCCCACTCCTACCTAACTCTTACAACAGTCTGAGGGAAAGATAGGCTCAGTTGGGCTCTTTCTGGGTAACTAATAGCGTCAGGTCTCCAACTCTCGTGCCCTGCCTTTTAAAGGATAAACAGCAGCCCTCCTGCAGCGCCCAGCCTTACCTTCCACTAGAGCCTTTTTGGCCATGGCGGCAGCCCGGTGTGAGCTGAACTTGAGCAGCGCGATCTGCGTGGGCGCAGACCCGGGGCTGGGTAGTAGCAGAGCCTCCTGCAGGCCAGGACCCAGCGGCTGTAGGGCGAACAGCAGCGCGCGGTGGCTCACGCCTGGTGGCAGCCCATCCACAGTCAGCTCGCACTTTTCGGTGCTTCGGCACACTAGGAGCTGGCAAGAGGGACGCAGCTGGTGGTTGTGCAGCGTAGCGATGGCGGCCTGGGCACCGCGCCGCGAGCTGTAGCGCGCATAAGCAAAGCCGCGGTTCAGGCCGCTGAAGGTCATCATCAGGCGGAACTCATAGAGGCGCCCCACGCGCTGGAACAGTGGGATCAGCTGGTGCTCATAAACGTCTTGAGGCAATCGTCCAATAAACACCTCTGACCCGGATGGTGGCGGGCTGCCCACCCAACCTGGAGGAAGGGGGGGGGCACTATCAACCGGGGTAGTCTCGATTTCTGGCCCCAAGGACCCAGGAAGAAGGGACAAGGGGGAACGTCTAAAACACCCGTCTGGCTCCAGGGTCGATGCATAATTAAGCTGCCAGAGTTGGTGCACCTGAAAACCAGCTCCCTTCTTCGACGGGGAGGGTAGATGGGGAGCACACAAATGCCCTCATCTGCTCAAGGATGTTAAGTGGGGTACTCTGGGTTTTGCTTGAAGAGCCTCGGGATAGATCCCTCCCCCAAAGGGTGCTGGGCGTCGAGTCTGGCGTAGTGCACAGGCCTGTGGGAACTGGGGCTACAGTACCTGGGGGTGGCCCGCCGTACTTCCTCTGCCCGTTCACCTGCACCAGGCGAATGCCAGTCTCCCTGACCCACGCCTCCAGGGCCGCCTTGTTCTCTGGATTCACCCTCTCACACCATTGCTGAGAAGGAAAAGGCAGGATGAACAGCAAATCGTACAGCCCGCCCCACCTCGCCTAAGGTTGGGGGTTACTGAAGCCGTCCCCATGTGCAGGCAGGGCTCAGAGAAGCCTCTGGTCGCCAGTTACGTACCTCGCACTCCCGTTTGGACTGCATAGCTCTCTCCTAGGTCCGCCAGTACCCTCTAGAACTTCCTCAGGCTTCGGCCTCTGGAAGCTTCCCTGCCCTCAGCTCCCCCCCTCAAGCTCTAATTGGCTGTGAGCGTGACCCCGCCCCTCGAGGGTGGAAGCATCCACTGCACGTGAGCTCTGAAGCGCAGGTGGAAATCGCGAAAGCTTGAAGGCCCGTGGGTGGGAGGGGCACCACCTCCAGGGGCGTGGCTTGCCCAGGGTAGGGTGGACGTTGGCGCAAGACCCAGAGCAGCGCCCTTCACCCTGGAGCAGAAGTAGTGGGTTTACGGAGGCTTCCTCTCTTTAACGCCACTAAAGCGGTTTGAAGGGGTCGCTCAGGATATGAGGGGGAAGGCAGCGCTAGGCATCATGGATACAGACAGGCTTCAGCTGTAGAGACATTTATTGGACTTTTGGCTGTAGGTTGTGGGGAGACATCTGCTGGATCTGCTGTGAAGCTCTGCATATGAGGCCATCTCAGGTCCATCCCAAGTTTATGAGGCAGCGACAGCATTATCTACCTATACCTCCCCTACCTCCCTTAGAAAGTGTTGTAGTACTTGGCCATTTTTTGCCAGTGATTAATAGTAAGATAATAAAACCTCAAAAAGCCTCTATTCTGACCATCCTTCAGTTTCTGCTGGAACAGAGATGTACAAAACTGTTTAAGTACATATGCAGTTTTGTTTTAGCCCAAATAACGCCAGCCCCGCTTCCTCTGCTAGCTGCCTCAGTTCAGCAGATGCGGAGAGGCTGACTTGTTCGCCTTCTGATCTCCTCCACAAGGTCTTCTCTTTGGACATCCACCTGGCCAGGATGGAGGAAGAAGGTGGTGTGAGCATCTTTCACTCCATTCCTCACGGAGTATCTACTTCTAGTTATCAGGTTTGGCTCATCTGGAAGCAGGAACCTTGTTAGATACCCCAGAGTATCTAACAAAGCCTCTAGAAAGACATGCATATGGTGATCAGAGATCTTTTTTTTTTTTTTTTGGTGTTTTTGAGACAGGGTCTCCCTGTAGCTCCAGCTGGCCTGGAACTCAGCGACAGCATTATCTACCTATACCTCCCCTACCTCCCTTAGAAAGTGTTGTAGTACTTGGCCATTTTTTGCCAGTGATTAATAGTAAGATAATAAAACCTCAAAAAGCCTCTATTCTGACCATCCTTCAGTTTCTGCTGGAACAGAGATGTACAAAACTGTTTAAGTACATATGCAGTTTTGTTTTAGCCCAAATAACGCCAGCCCCGCTTCCTCTGCTAGCTGCCTCAGTTCAGCAGATGCGGAGAGGCTGACTTGTTCGCCTTCTGATCTCCTCCACAAGGTCTTCTCTTTGGACATCCACCTGGCCAGGATGGAGGAAGAAGGTGGTGTGAGCATCTTTCACTCCATTCCTCACGGAGTATCTACTTCTAGTTATCAGGTTTGGCTCATCTGGAAGCAGGAACCTTGTTAGATACCCCAGAGTATCTAACAAAGCCTCTAGAAAGACATGCATATGGTGATCAGAGATCTTTTTTTTTTTTTTTTGGTGTTTTTGAGACAGGGTCTCCCTGTAGCTCCAGCTGGCCTGGAACTGCTACATAGACCAGGCTCACAGAGATTCAGCAATCTGCCTGCCTCTGCCTCCCGAGTGCTGGGATTAAAGGCCACCATGCCCGGCTGATCAGAGATCTTAAATGCCACCATAGTGGTAACAGGCTAAACCCTTAGGTTCCTTATGAGTTGGTACAACATGAACATTAAGCTTTTGCTCAGGTCTCAAATGGGCCTGGACCTACCAACATGGCATACATTCCTTATCTTTTAGCCTTCCTGTCTGCCCTCTTACCTCTTCCCTGCTAGTCACTGAACGGAGCTTGATGACACCGTTCTTGAGCTCCTGTTCGCCAATGATGGCCACCAGTGGGATGCCTGCTTCCTCACAGTACTGCAATTGGTTCAGTAATTTTGGATTCTTTTTGTAGAGCAGCTCAGCCTACAAGGGACCAAGGCAGAAGATGAAGGCTGATTTCCGTTCTCAGGGAAAAACTGAGGGGCCCAAGCTGGCATCTTGCTCTTAGCTTTACTCCAAGAAGTAATAGAAGGCATTATGGATGAACTTCTATTTAGTTTGTGCCCAGTATTCCCAACCTTGCTACCACCCTGGGGCTTGCCTCCTGTACCTTGATCCCAGCATCCCACAGTTCTGAGACAAGCTTCAGTCTTTCCTCTAGCAGCTTCTTCTGTGCAGATGCCACAAGGACCTGTGTCTCTGTGGTCCGGACCTTTTCCTCCAAAGCCTAGGGGAGGGGCAGATAAAAGTCAGAGCTGGACTAAATCATCAAGGAGCAAACAGGGCAGGCTATGGTTAGGACCCTGAGAGACGAGGTCCAACTCAACACTAGGGAAGGGCATTAGTCTTTTGATCTCCCAAATGGGCATAAGAATAGCTCTTAGAGATATAAGAAAGGAACTGAGTTGTACATATGACTTGTCAGAGTAAAAAGCTGCACTTAGGTAGAAGGAGGATCAGGAATTCAAGCCTAGCATGTCTCTCTCAAAAAAAAAAAAAAAAAAAAAAAAAAAAAAAAAAAAAAA